AGGCTCGCGTGGCGGCCCCGCCCCATGCCGGCGCACCCCTCATGAGGATCGTGGCTCCATCGGAAGCTCCACCGAAGGCGCCAGTGGCAGGGTTCGCATGGCGACCCCGCCCCATTTCGGCACACCCCTCACGAGGATCGTGGCCCCGTTGGGAGCTTCATCGAGGGTGCCAGTGGCAGGGTTCGCATGGCGGCGTCGGGCTATTTCGGCACAACCTTCACGGGGATCGTGGCCCCATAGGGCGCTCCACCGAGGGCGCCAGTTGTAGGGTTCGCGTGGCGGCCCCGTCCCATTTCGGCACACCCCTCACACGGTTCGTGGCCACATAGGGAGCGCGGGCGAAGATCGTATTCACAATTGCGGTATTCACAGCTGCGTATGGTTGGGTCGTTCGCCAGGCTAATTTTCACTGTTCGCCCAAAATCCGCCTGTTGGAATGTTAATGACGAAAGGAATGCCCCTCGCAGCTGCAGCTCTAAGAGCCATTGCGCGGTGGGTGTTAGCGAAAAGCCAAGCGGGCCATTCGCATGGAACCTCAGCCCAGTGTCGTGGCACACGTCATCATCCACAAATGCGCTGCGCTTCCGCAGTGCTTGACCGTGTAGTCTACCTCAACGGCAGGGGGTGCGGTGACTCTCGGTAGGCAACGGCACTCTCCCTCCTGGTCTTCTTCTACTTGTTGTGCCCTCTCATTTTTCCTGCATCATCCTGACTCCTTCTCATGCATGCTTGCCCTCCTCCCACAACCTCTTTCTCCTATATCTTTCTCCTCACCTCATTTGTTCAAAGAGGTCACAATAATGCGCCAAGAGTGTTTACAGGTCACACCAACGAATCCACCACTGCCTGATGCACTCATCAGTTTGTTGGATGAATGCTTAACGCTTCGCGTATCCCCACCAGCCCATCCAGGAAGGACGCCCGGGGGAGCTGCCCTTTCTCGGGGGAGCGCGGCATCATTTGGAAAGATTTGGGAGCCAGAGGCCTCTTGGACGCCTCTCGAAGACTCTTGGGATGTCCCTCGGGGTCTCTTGGAGGCCTCTTGGGGCCTCCTTGGCCCTCAAGGCGGCTCGTCGGGGCCTCTTGGGGCGCCTAGGGGATCTTGGACGTCTGTTGGAGCTTCTTGGTGGTCTCTAGGCAGTTTTCGCAGCCTCGTGGGACCTCTTCGGGGCCTCGTGAGAGCCTCTCGGTTCCTCGTGGGGGCCGCTCGGGGCCGCTTCGGGGCCTTTTCGGGGCCTCTGGGGCGCCTCTTGAGCGCCTCTTGGGGCACCTTAGGGGCTCTCTGTGGAGCGCTTCGGGCCGTCTTGGAGGTGATCGATCGACGAATGGGGGGGGTCCTTCATGAGGCTGCCCCCCGAGGAGGCCACATGGGATCGAAACCTTTGCAGACTTCTCACCGGTACCTTCTTGGACGCTCTGACAGCCCACCGCCACCCTCGTCCAGACCCCGGGCGAGTGGGAGGGGGAGGGGTCAAGCTGCAACCCCTTCACCGAGGGACGGCCGTCTCGCTCACTCCCCACACGACCTCCCACCACAGAAATAGCACCCGAGTCTCGGCAGTGCCAGATACCGCCATCGACAATCATCGGGGACACATGCAGACGCCTGCCAGGTGCGCGACGCCCGCGTGGTGCTCCGCGCGTGCCATGGCGCCCCCCATCATCCTGCCGAATATCGGCACGAACGAAATGGGTACGGAAAGAATGGGTACGATGCCCAACAGCAGTTCTTGTTCATTTTGAACAGGACTCGCTGTCCGCGCCGCCGCGGCCTGTGTTCATTTGAGATAGAAGGCCGCCTGCGCAACAGCGGCCGCTGTTGGTTTGGGGCAACATTTGTTGTTGGGCATTGTACCCAGTTTTCCCGTACCCAGTTCGGGCGTGCAAAGAATAGCAGTGCAAGGTGATCGCGAAGCCCCCGCGCATGATGCAGAGCCTGCTGCACCTTGTATTATTTGTCCCAACCATCCTGTGGTGTTGGGTCCTCGTTTTGAAGACAGCGCCCCGCCTCCCTCCCTCCCTCCCTCCCTCTCTCCCTCCCTCCCTCCCTCCCTCCCGCCTCCTCCTCCTCCTCCTCCTCCTCCTCCTCCTCCTCCTCCTCCTCCTCCTCCTCCTCCTCCTCCTCCTCCTCCCTCCTCCCCCTCCTCCCTTCTCCCAGTCCTTGCCCCTGCCTTCAGAATGTGTCTGTTTCAACACACCCCTCACACATTTCGTGGCCCTATAGGGAGCTCCACCTAAGGCCCCAATGGCGCAGCTCGCATGGCGACGCCGCCATATTCCGGCACACCCCTCACGAGGATCGTGGCCACATAGGGAGCTCCACCGAAGGCGCCAGTGGCAGGGTTCGCATGGCGGCCTCGGGCCATTTCGGCACACCCCTCACGAGGATCGTGGCCCCACAGGAGCTCCACCGAAGGCGCCAGCGGCAGGTTTCGCATGGCGGCCTCGGGCTATTTCGGTACATTCTCACGACGATGGTGGCCCCATAGGGAGCTCCACCGAAGGCGCCAGCGGCAGGGTTCGCATGGCGGCCTCGGGCCTTTTTGGCACACCTCTCACGAGGATCGTGACCCCATAGTTGTGATGCTTCAACATCCGCGCCAGTGGCAGGGTTCGCATGGAGGCCTCGGGCCATTTCGGCTCACCCCTCACGAGGATCGTGGCCCCATAGAGAGCTCCACCGAACGTCCCAGTGGCTGGGATCGCATGGCGGCCTCTGGGCATTTCAACCACACACCTTACGAGGGTCGTGGCCCATAGGGAGCTCTACTGAAGGCCCCAGTGGCAAGGTTCGCATGGCGGCCTCGGACCGTTTCGGCGCACCCCTCACAAGGACCGTGGCCCCAAAAGGAGCTCCACCGAAGGCGCCAGTGGCAGGGTTCGCATGGCGGCCTCGGGCCATTTCGGCACACCCCTCACGAGGATCGTGGCCCCACAGCGAACTCTACAGAATGCCCCAGTGGCAGGGTTCGCATGGCGGCCTCGGGCCATTTCGGCACACCCCTCACAAGGATCGTGGCCCCGTACGGAGCTCCACCGAATGCGCCAGTGTGGCAGGGTTCGCATGGCGGCCTCGGGCCTTTTTGGCACACCCCTCACGAGGATCGTGGCCCCACAGCGAACTCTACAGAATGCCCCAGTGGCAGGGTTCGCATGGCGGCCTCGGGCTATTTCGGCACACCCCTCACGAGGACCGTGGCCCCATAGGGAGCTCCACCGAAGGCCCCAGTGGCAGGGTTCGCATGGCGGCCTCGGGCCATTTCGGCACACCCCTCACGAGGACCGTGGTCACATAGGGAGCTTCACCGAAGGCGCCAGTGGCAGGGTCCGCATGGCGGCCTCGGGCCATTTCGGCACACCCCTCACGAGGATCGTGGCCCCATAGGAGCTCCAGCGAAGGCGCCCGTGGCAAGGTTCGCATGGCGGCCTCGGGCCATTTCGGCACACCCCTCACGAGGATCGTGGCCCCACAGGAGCTCCACCGAAGGCGCCAGCGGCAGGGTTCGCATGGCGGCCTCGGGCCATTTCGGCACACCCCTCACGAGGATCGTGGCCCCATAGGTGTGCTGCTTCAACAACCGCGCCTGGGCGTCGTACTCCGCCTTTTCGACATGCAACGCCACCTCCTCCCTCATGGCTCTCAAAGCCCTCTCCTGCTTCTGCTCCTCGGTCATATGGACGCCGTCCTTGTCGTCGTCGGCGCCCGCGAAGACGGCCACGAACGTGTTCCTGAGCATGTTGGGCTCCGGCAGGAAGCCGTGGCCACATAGGGAGCGCGGGCGAAGATGATATTCATACTTGCGGTATTCATAACTGCATATGGTTGGGTCCTTCGCCAGGCGTTTGTTTTGTCGGGGGCGATGGCCCCGCGCGCAGCAGGCAGTATGCCGCCCACCTTATAGTCCCCGTCGCGACGCAGTGCAAGCTGATCGCGTGGTGCCCGCGAAGGATCCAGATGTTGCCGCACACTGCGTCTCGTGATGGCGTCTGACGAGGCTGGTGGGGGGGTTGGGGGTTGTCAGGGTTTTGGGCTCTCCCCTGGCCATGTGGGAGGAGGAGGTGTTTGTGTATTGATCGGGAGCAGCGATGCGCCCCTCCCCGAAAAGGAACGAGGGGAAGAGAAGCCGCCCTAAACAACCTACGCCAAGTGAGGCTGGTGGAGTTCTCGGGCCCCCACCCGTTCGTCTGAAGCACGCCTCTGGCGTCCCAGGGAAAAAGATGTAGGTTGCCCATAAAAAAACATCACAACGAGCCGTAAGACGCCATCCGCGCCCGATGGGTTCTCATTGCAAGTTCCGTTTTCCGTGCGGGGCCCCATCTATCTAGACTTCAAGCGCCCGCGAATCGCCGGCGATGGCGAAAGTCATGTTCGTTCGCCATTTTGAGAAGGTTTGATTAAACACCAGACCTACGCTTTCATGTGTCAGGACCTGGCGTAGTCGATTTGACCAGGCGATCTCATATCCTGTTCGATGAGGCCCAATCTCTGGTCTGAAGTGGCACAGCGCCTGTTAATTGCCCCGTCATCAGGCCCAATGAAGGTATTCCAGGATTTGCTTTCCAGTTGCCGCGGGCCCCACTTCAGAGGTTCCGACCTCTTCCCATCCCAGGACGATCTTATGTTGATGTCCCCGCGGCCCGGAAATACCCCGCGGAGGCCGAACACACAGATACGCCCGAAGTCTGGGCTCCCGACTCTCAGTCATGCCGATACCCGCAGGCTGCCCGCCCGACCCCCCGCCTCCGCGCTGCCAGGCGTGGTGGCTGGCCCCGCTGCTGCTGCTGACGAGCCCCCGTCCCCGATCCCGGACTCTCGCACCTCGGTCTCCGACCCTCGAGCCTGGGAAGACAGCGACACGGCACTTCCGCCTGCCCGGGGTGTGGGCCCCGCGGGCCCCCTGCTGGTTTCAGAACGTCCCCGGCTCTGGCGGTGGCCGGGTCGGGCCTCCACGGCCGGCCAGCCCGGAGACCACTTCGAGACTCTGTTTGCTCCCCCCCCTGCAACGTTCGTTTCGTGATCGTTGTCTTATTCACTGTTTTGCCGATCGGCGCGGGCCCTGTTACCCCCCGTCCCCCGTCCCGTGGAGTACATCTTGGCCGTTTTTTTGGCGCCCGTTTCAGGCATGTGGAGTCTCCTCCACAGGGCGCATTGTTGCAGACAGTTGCATTAAGCAGAGGTTCTTCTCCCTGATGATGATGATGATGATGATGATGATGATGATGACGATGATGATGATGACGATGATGATGATGATGATGATGATGATGATGATGATGATGATGATGATGATGATGATGATGATGATGATGATGATTATGAAGATGATGATGCTGATGATGATCTGATGATGATGGTGCTGATGTTGATGCTGATGAGGATGATGATGATGAGGAGGAGGAGGAGAAGACATCACAACATCATCGCCCCCCTTTCCACCCGTCGAAACGCCGAATATGAAGACGTTCGCTATAGGGAGGGAGTGGGGAGGGCCTGCGAGCGCCACAGCATACCTGTGAGCACCAGAGCATGCCTGCCACCCTCACCGCATGTGTAAATCGGGCATGTCCCTGTACAGGAGGATTGCTCAAACATAGTCTAGATATAGTATGGAACGATTGTAGTATGTTCACAAGGTTTGCACATGTTTGACTATTTTCTATCTGTCGTCCAAAATCCGCCAGTAGGAGGACATGCCCGACCTAACCGCATGTCTGCGAGCACCGCGCCGTGCCTGTGGGGGAACCGCCCCCGCCGCCCCTTCCCCCGGCGCACGCTCGGTACCAGGGGAGGGGGGGTGGACGGGAAAGCGACGTCCCCCGTAGCCTAGGCCTCCTAGGCGGGGTTCGAGTAGATGGGTTCGGAGGATCGCGCCACATCGCCGAGGCAGCGTCGATATGGCACGATGTGGGGCCCGATTGGCTTCACGTCGACGTCGCCGATGCATCGCCGACGTCGACGAAGCATCGCCAGTGCATCACCGATCCTCCGACACCATCTACCCCGACCCCATCTAGGAGGCCTCTACATAATGGACGTTTCGGGCTCACCGAAAAAGACACCAATCTCTTCGGGAATCGCGTTTGAGGTCGCTTCTGGGGACCCGTACAGCAAGTCGTTGTCTTGCCACCCCTGAGAGTACAAACTCGGAGGCCTAGGGCCTGGAGGTTAGCACCAGCACCAGTATCGGCGGTGTCCTTCCACTGAGCGAAGATGAGCCCGATCTCAGTCTCAATCATGGTGGCAATGGTTGCGACTCCCAGGTGGCCGTATCATTACCACCAGCATTAGAATCTAGGACCATCCTCCCTCAGTGGAGGCAGCCCCCTGTGTTGGTGCTGGTGCTCATTCCCAAGCCTCCTACCAACGCAACGACCACTGCCCTCGCGCTGCCACGCGTGACGGCGGGCCCGCTTCGCCTACAGGCGGGCTTCGCCCCAGACGGCTTCGCTCCAGGCCGCTCCGCCCCAGACCGCTTCGCCCCGGACCGCTTCGCCCCGCCCGCCGCCCGTTGGTTCCGACCGTCTCTCGCCCCGCCTCGAGCCTCGATCTCCCTGGGCCCCCGACGTCAGTTTCCCCAGAGCGGACCCCAGGACGAGCCTCCCCCCCACCGAGGCGGCCCTCCTTTGACAGCCCGGGGGGCCCGGAGACGTCCATCACCGCCACCATAAGTTGGAGGGGGAAAGGAGGTGGAGGATGAGGGGGGGGGAAGAAGAAGAGGAGGAGGACCCCCTCCCCCTCCTACTTCCAGTGGTGGCGGTGGAAAACAGGCCGCTCCCTCCCCCGGGTAGTCCCGGCTGGCCTCCTCTGCCCCCCGAGCAGGCGGGGACGGTCTCTGTACACCTCTCACTCCTTGGAGTCCCAGAGCGCGGCGCCGCGAGAGGCGGCGCCGGGGTGTTTAGAGAGGCCCGGGGCTACAGTGGAGGCCCATGCCAAGAAACACCCTGCTTGCCTCCAGGGGGCCCTGGGTTTCGATGGTTTTGCCGTGGAAAGCGTGACGTTCCCACGCCAAAAATCTATGGGCGTCCTGGGGTCTCAGGGTTGGGTGTCTTGTGGAAGGCTTCTTGTGGTCGGTCCCCCGCTGTACTTGAGGGGGCTGCTTGTCCGCAGCCGCGCTCTCGTCGTTGAAAGGAGCCGCTCCCGTTCGTCCTCTCCCTTCGCCTGCGGCCCCGCCCTCGCCCTCGACCGTCGGCTGGGCGGCCGGCCGCCCGTGGGCCCTGCCCCTGCAGGGCAGGCCTCTGCAAGACCGGCGGGGGGTCAGACTCCGAGGGGCGCCTATAGGGCCACGTGGGCGACGCAGGAGAACCTGTTCGTCTTCACCGACGCTGGCGCGCAAGTTGCCCGCACGGGATCGCGCGTGAGCGCCCCCGTTTCCAACGCGGCGTGCCGCGCTGGTGGCCCGCGCCGGCCACCGCGTGAGGTCGCTGTGCCACCTCGCGTCAGGCCCGCGTCTTCTCGCCGCTCCCGTGGACCCCAACGGGGTGTCTCGGGTGCCCCCGGCGTCGTGCCGCCCCGTGGCTTTCGATGCTCCGGGACGGCACGACGAGGCAGACGCGACGCCCGCCGCCGCGGCGCGCCTGCGCAGGCGCGGCGGCTGGACCCGCCGCCGAGGCCCGCGCCAGGCTGCAGGACGCTGCCGCGAGGGCGGCCGAGTCGGCGAGGGAGCCGCTGGTGCTCCGCGGGCTGCAGCGGCGGCATAGGGAGTTCGGTGGCAACTCCTGGGAGCCCTGCATGTCCTCGCAACTCCGTCTTGATAGAGTGCACTCGCTTGCGATAGCGTCTGGTCATCGATGAGAGAGCGCAGATGCAGCGATGAGAGAGCGCAGATGCAGCGCCGATTCGCGTCGATTGGCGTCGATTTAGCATCGATGATCGTCGGGCAGCGTCGATTCGAAAGAGGCAGCAAGATGGCATGGGCGGCTACTGTGAGTTGCCACCGAAGAGGAGGAAAACGCAGCGATACCGACCTGGTGTTGATATTTCACTACATTGTTTGTTACGTTGTCTGCCTCTAGGGGCGCGCTCTGGGCCCAGGGACCGTCAACAAAACTTACCCGAGACGAGACGCCCGGCCCTGGGGAAAGGGTCAGGACTCCTTGTGGCCGTGCATATATCAAATCAAGACATCGGATGCGGATCAGAGGAGGAAAGTAGATATACACCGTTACCCTTCCGCCAGTTTCTCCTTTTGGGGCCTCCCATGGGTGGCTCTCGTCGACACGGCTGGATTCGCTTGGAAATTTTGGTCAGAACACACCTTTGGAGAGGCCCGGGGAGTAGCGGTATCGGTCTCTGTTGGTTCAAATTTCGAGGTGGGAGCGTCGAGCTCCGATGATCCCTTTGGGGGCAGTTGTCCTGCCTTTCTGAGCGTCCTGAGGCGTTTTCGTCGCCACGGCTGGGTTCCCTTCGACATCCTCGGCAGAAGGCATCCCTGACGGGTCCGGGGAGCAGCTTGCCGATCCCCGGGCCCAGACCCCCTCGCGCCACGGCGGCGTCGGCTCTGGGGGCCCCGGCCAGGCCCCCCGGGCCGTCACGCACCGTGTCTGGGCCTCCTGGCTTTCGGCGCTGCGCAGGGATCACGGCGCCGGAGGTCTCGGGAGGAGGAGGGTTATATAGGGGACCGCCTGCGAACCCTAATTACCCCTATACCCCCCACGATTTTTCTGGGGGGGAGGGTGTTCCCTTCGCTTTTGGGAGCTCCCGAACGAAGGGAGCCCCACCCTCCTATCCTTGGGAATCGTGGGGGGGTAGGGGTCAGGGTTCGCATGTGGCCCCCCCTAAGGGTGGGGATGCACCGAGGGTCGAGGCCTTCGGACCCTTCTGGGCTTTTTGTTGGCCCTCCCAGGAGGCCCTCGATCGCCACGGCTGGATCGTGGTGCGTCGCGGTCGTCCCCTTCCTCGTAAAAAAAAAATCGGCTCGCTCTCCTGGCCATGGCGCGCCACAAGACAAAAGTCGGAGCCCAAAGCCATCGGGGCTGCGGGTGGTCAGGGGCAGCTGCCCATCGGTCGCTGACGGTAGGCATTTTTGGACTCCCAGAACTCCATCTACTTCAAGCGCCTTCCTGTTTCAAGAATCGATCTGCTCTTGCGGCGTTTTCTGACCCTCTGGGCGGGCCCGAACCCAAATCTACCTGATCCGCCTTCCTACTTCATGCTTCTACCTACTTCTTCGACCGATGGGAACTGATTCGCGACGCGGGGTCCCAAGCTGGAGTTGCCCTGGACAGGAGCTATTCCAGACATTTCGGGCGTCCAGCCATTCCCAAGTCATCGGGGCTGGGGGCGGTCATGGGTACTCTTGCTTCGCGCGTCGGGGGCCTGAATTGAAGTTACCCTGGACTGGAGCTCTCCTAGAAACTTCGGGCATCCAGACAAGTCCCTCGACGCCCGGCGATATGATTGTTCCAATCTCAGGGGCCCCCCGAGGTCCGTCGGGGACCTTTGGTCCTGTGGGGGGGGGGGCGCTCCTTCCCCCTCCCCCCCCCCCCGCCGGGCCCAGGCCCTCGCCCCCGAGGGGTGGGGAGGTCCAAGGTCGGTGGGAGTGAGCGAGGAGCCGTCCGTCGGTACCCGCGGGCGGCGGCGGCGGCGGAGGAGGGTCTGGTTGACCCAAGCGGGGGTCCAGCGGGAAGGGGGCGGCGCAGTAGGCATGGTGCAAGAGCTTTCAGTGGGGTTGCAATCGATCTGGGGCGTACAATACATTCCGGTGCGCACATGCATGGCTGGGTTCTCGCTGGCAATACGTTCGTTGCAGTACGATGCCACACAATTCTCTTGCGCAATCCATTTGCAAGACAATTGTCCGAAACCTGTTGCTTCACCCCCTTTCAGCTGGACCCCCTTTTGGGTCAACCAAAGAGGGGGGGGAGAGCCTGGGGATGCCCTCATGGGCACCTTATCTTTTGTCGGGGGGTCGTAGAGGGAGGGCTATCCCAGCCCAGACCCCCTCGCGTTGTGAACAAATTTCGATGGAAGGTTTTCCCAGTTTTCGGCCTCTGGGGGCCCTTTCCGGGCCTCGGGGCTGTCCAAAAAACAATCGGGAGTCAAAACTGGTCCCGGGGAATGGGTCGAGATTTTTGGTGCTGGACGTTATGAGAAATCATGACGTCGGGGGTCTGGGTAGAGGGAGGGTTCTCCCGAGGTGGGGCTGGGGAGCGGGTCCAGCCAGATGCTCCTTTTTAACGCATTTCCTCCTTCCAGAAGGAGCCGTCCGAAGCGATCTCCCTCCCAAAACCATACGTTTGCCCACTATTGTGCCCCTCCGATCTTACCGCTTCTACCTACAATTGTTGCTTCCGCACTGGCAGCTGCCTCAGGCCTAAGTCGGCTTTTCGTTCTACCTTTAGGCATCTCGCACTGACAAGACGCAGCAACCATATCACTTCATGTCCGCGCAGCGCAAACAGAGCCCGGGGATGGTGTTGAGCGGATCCATTGGGCATTGTGTAACTGGGAATGGCGGCGACAGGGTCTTCCCACTATTTTCGGCCTCTGGGGGCCCTTATTGTGCGGGGCTTCGGGGCATTCCAAAATCGACTCAGGATGAAAAGCCGGTCCCAGTGAATCGGCCGAGACTTTGGGAGGTTGATGGGTGGGGCATTCAAGAGAGGGTCTCGCCTTCCAGGCTCGAAGGATTTGATATCTTCTCAGCGGAAGGCGGCGGAAGTAGAACGAGGGCGGATCATCAGACGGACGCCGGCGGAAGCCAGCGGAAGTAAAAGATGCGCCCCCAGGAGAATGTCACAATTGTGCTCTCAGGGTTTCGGGAGGCCGCCAGATGTGGTGGGGAAGAACTTTGCACCTTTCGTGCCCTAGTGGGGCCCTACCCAGACCCCCGACATCATGATTTTTCATAGCGTCGACCAGAGGTCTCGATTTAGTCCCTGGTACCAGTTGTGCCTCCTGGGCTGTTTTTCGACAGTCCCGAGGCCCGGTAAGGGCCCTCAGGGGCCGACTAAGGGGAAACACCTTCCGCCGTGATTTTTGTTACAACGCGAGGGGATCTGGGCAAAGGGACCTTTGGTGCCCATGACTGGCACGAGGGGTGCTCGCTACTCCACCCCCCATTCCATCGCCCCCCATTCATAAGCAACCCCCGAATCCAGGCCGCCCAAGCAGGGCGCACCAGCAAGGGCCTCGCCTTCGTCGCATCTCGCCCTCGGGGGAGGCCGGCGGGAGTAGAACAGCGGCGGGCCCGCCCGCGGAAGGTCGGCGGACGGTGGCGGAAGCAAATGCTAGATGACAGCGTTTTTGGGATTGTGCTCGTTTTCTCATTCATTGTTTTGTCGATCGACGCGGGCCCTCGCACGGCCCCCTCTCCCTGGCGTGATTTTGGCTGTTTGGGGTGCCTGTTTCAAGCAGGTGGGTCCTCCCCCGCAAACAGGCGCACTAAGCAGAGACCTGGAGCCAGCCGCCCCTTCCCCCCCCCCTCCTCCACCCAATGTCGGAAAGCCGAAGAAGAACACGTTCACAAGGTCGGCGGACGGTGGCGGAAGCAAGAGCGAGACGACAACGCTTTCGGAATTCAGTGGTTCTGGAGGCGGCCAGCTGGGGCCAGAATGCACGGTTTCGAAAAATCGGGCCGCATCTCCGAGTAGTCGGCGATGTGGCGCGATCCCGAGCTCGAGCTTCGCCTTCCGACGTCGCCGACGCATCGGCGGTGCGGTGCGACCCCGCGACCCGAACTTCTTCGTCATCATGGCGGTCGCCTCCTGGGATGCGCAGGACATCAAACTCGTTCGTAAACCAGTGGCCGAACATTCTTCGCAGTTTCGGCCTCTATGTGCCAACACCAGGCCTCGCAACCGTATTGAGCCGATTGAGCGTGGGAAATACAATATTGATCAACATGGCGTCGGGAATCATGAGCCTTTCGTGTCACGGCGCGTCCACGACTGTTCGGGGAGATGTTGGCTTGGCCCCCCCCCCCCTACCCTCATTTTCGCAATCGGGAGGGACGAGAGGAGGGGGTTGGAAGAATTGCCGCAGACGGGGAGAGCAAGGCACATGGATCGCGTGAGGAAGGGTGCGTGGGGGCACGGACCATTCGTGCGCATCTATGTGTATACATATATATGTATGTCTACATAGAGATACATACATACATACATATATAGATATAGTCATATACACAGCTGTAGCTATAAAGCGCTACAACTATATGTATAGATCTGTATGCGTATGTTTCTGTATTGTTTGGGGCATAGTGGGCAGAGCTCGTTCAGGAGGACGCTCGCTGGCCGCCAAGATGGCTCCGTAGTGGTCCAAGACGCTCCAAGATGTTTCAAGGCGGCCCCCAGGGGCCACAAGATGCCCCAGTGGAGCTCCCAAAGGCCCTCCCAAATGACCCCAGAGAGCCATAAACGCAAAAACCTTGCAGGTTTTTCCACATTCAGTAAATCTCACGGTCGTCTCCTTCGGATGGCTTCGGGAGGTCTTCACATGGCGCCGAGGCTCGAGACGGCCCCACAACTTCGAAGAAGAGCCCAAGAGGGCCCCAAGCGGGCCCCAAGGCTTTCAAGGCAGCCCAAGCAGGAAGATCCACAAGAGACCCGCACACTTCAAGCCAGCCCATTTCATATTCATTATCTCCCCACGCAGGCCCTAAACAGCTCGAAGCCCCCCGGAAATTACAGCAAACCCACGAACTCCATAACCAACTTCCGAGTTTCTACCGAACAACCCCCCGAACAGGAACCGAACAACCCCCCAAACAGGAATCGAACACACCCTCGAACGGGAACCGAACAAACCTCCGGACTTCTACCGAACAAACCTCCGGACCTCCCTGGAGAGGCCTTCTGGGGCCGCCTGGAGAGGCCTTCTGGGGCTCGAAGGGCGCCCCCCGCTTTCGGAGGGCCCGAAGGCGCTCCCCAGACGGTCCAGGAGGCCTCCGAGACGGCCCAAGAGCGCGCCAAGACGCCCAAGATGGCTTCTAGACGGCCCGAGAGGCCCCCCACCCCCCCCAAGAGGGCTCCAAGAGGACACCGATGAGGGCCGCAAGATACAAACATCGCCCCTATTTTTAGCATCTTCCGTTTTTGGTATGAATAGCGTCCACGACGGCATCAGAGAACCCCAAGATCGCCCCAGGGCATCCCAAGAGGCCCCCAAGACGGCCCAAGAGGCCCTCAAGACCGCCCCAAGACGTCCCACCAGGGAGCTCCGGGTCCCCCCCAGATGCCCCCAAGCTGGCCGGCTCCCAAAGCGCCCCAGGTTGTCTGGAAGATGGCTGAAGAGCGCACTGAGATGGCCTCCAGATGGCCCACGAGCGCTCCGATGACCAGCTCCACAGCCGTAGTCCACAGCTCCAAGACGCCCAAGATGGCCCCAAGACGGCCTAAGAGGCCCCACAGAAGCCCCAAGAGCGCTCGAAGAGGACCCCAAGAGGGCCCAAAGAGGGACAAATCAGTGATTTCCCTTGTGCGTGTTTGATGTGGTTCGCGTTCTCGCGTTGTGGGCTTCCGACGCTCTGAGATGGCCCAAGAGGCCCCCAAGACCGCCCCATGACGGCCCAAGAGGCCCCCAAGAGGGCCCCAAGACGGTCCAAGAGGGCCCCAAAGCGGCCCAAGAGGCGCACAATATCGCCCAACATTGCCCCAAGACGGTCCCAACAGGGGCCCGAGAGGGGGGACACGAACCAACAATTCGAGCCTTCCGCCCCATGATGCCCCCTGGAGGCCCCAAGAGGCCCCCAGGGGAGCCCAAGAGGCCCTCTAGAGGCCCCACGAGGTCCCCAAGAGGCCCAAAAAGAGACCAGAGCCTGGAGCTTCCAGAAAGGTGGGTGATCCCACCACAAGTAGGAACTCCCCCATGTTGTTGCAGATGCGGCCGTGTGGCTTGGTGGTCCTTCCTCTGGAGCTCAGTGCTTGTCCTTGTCGCGGTGCCGCCGCCCCTGGAGGGAGCCCTGGCGTCCAGCATGGAGGCACTTGCTCACTTATCTCCCCGCCCTTTCCACTGGTTTCCGTTCCATCGTCTCGGCCGGGTGGGGGGAGGCGGGCGTGAGCGCCGCAGGTCAGGTGCTCGATGGAACACAGCCGTGCAGCTTTTGCGCCGAAGACGGCCAGAAGCCGCCGAAGACCACCCCCAACGACCGCCGAAGATTGCCCAAGGCGAATGGGTAGCAAGGGGTCCAGGATCGAACACCCAGCAGTAGGGCGGCGTAAGAGGGGGGGCGGGCATTCTCAGATGGCGAAGGGGCTTCTCGGAAGTCATCTCGCCTTCCCAGAAGCTTTCCGTGTCTCCAGGGACGGCTCCGCAAATCTTTCAGAAGGTCCGACGCCAGCCGAGCTTCCTGAGAAGGCCCGCACCCTCTCGCTTCCGCCTGGGCGCACCGCCGAGTACAGCCGAAACCGATGATAAGGATGGGTATATAGCCTTTCTGAGGGTTCCCTTGCATCCTTGCCCCTTCAGTCCATCCTTAACCCCTCTCAACGGCCATCCCCGCTCGAGAAGCTTCGACACGGGCGCCCAAGGGTCTTGCATCCTTGCCGCGCATCCTTGCCATCAGTTCTGGCTGCAGGGGGCGGTGGCCCCACGCGGTGCTCCGAGCCAGCTCTGGGAGCCTTCGAGGGCACGGCTCGAGCAGGGGCATCGACTGCAGACTTGATTTACCCCAACGTTGTGCTCTTCCCGTCGGGCCCACGAAACATGCCACGTGTCGTGAGCAGATTCGACGAGCAAAGACATGATCGGGCACACCGATTCCGTAGTCGATCCCCTGCTCGGGCCGGGGGCGGGGGAGCGGCCCCGCGGGCAGCGCCTGCATGTAGGCACTGCCCTCGGGGAGCGCGGATGCCTGCAGGCAGGGAGGGCCTGCGGGCGGGCCTGCAGGCAGGGGAGGCGGAGGGGGCGGAGGCAGGGGCCGGGCGGGCGCAGGCCGTGGGCGGCTGCACAGAGCGTGGCGGCGTGGCGGCCCGGCCGCCCCGCTGCCCCCCCTCGAGGTGCGGGCTGCCCTGGGCTGCCCGGCCGTGCTGGCCTGAGCTTGCCGCGATGCCGGGCTCGCGCAGTTCACACAAGGAGCGCGGGGGTCGGGACGGCCGGCACGAGTACGGAAAGCAATGGGCACAGCGTCCGGCAGCAGTTCCTGTTCATGCTGAGCAGGTTTCGTTGACGGCGTCGCCGCGGCCGTTGTCCATTTGAGGCAGAAGGCCGCCTGCCCAGCAGCGGCCGCTGTCGGTGTTGGACAACCTGTGTTGGGCATCGGGCCCATTGTTCCATACCCGTCTCGGGCGGCCAAAAGGGGCGATCATCGTTCGGTAAACATTCATAGGAGCATTGCGTACCCTCTCTAGAGTGAGTTCGTTCGCGTCGATTAGCGTCTGCGTGGTCGGTGAGATTTCGTCGATTCGCGTCGGTTTGACGCCGACGAGCGTCGATTAGCGTCGACAAGCGTCAACTTGCCACCGAAGGCGAGGATCGATACGATCGACATGGGAACGGAAAGTACGGGTACGAAGACCGACAGTAATTCCCGTCCGTTTTGAACATGGCTCGCTGTCCGTGCCGCCGTGGACGTTGTTCACTCGAGGCGGACGGGGCCCACCTGCCCGACAGCGGCCGCGTCGGTTTGGGACAACAGATTTGCTGCAGGGCATCGTGCCCATGTTTGCCGTACCTCACCACCCACCAAACCACCCCAACCAACCCAACGCGAAGAGTTCAACTTGTCCGCATTTTCCAGTGAAGGGACGTCGGGGAACATGGGGAAACACACGTGTGGAACCCGTACCCCCCCCCGACCCGGAATTCGGGTCTTCGGGTTGAGCTGGGGTGGTCTGGTGGGTAGTCAGTACCCAGTTCGGGCGTCCAGAGGGGATCGGGAGCGAGGCTCTATCGGACGTCGAGGGGGAGGCGTGGTCCCGACCAACAACAACCAACGACCCCACCCCACCTGCGGCCCGCCGTGTTGCGCTACGGCCCATCGGGGGCCGTAGCGTACACCAAGCAGGAACCCGCGCCAGATTTCCCGGCATGCGCTAAGCCCCGCGGGGCCGTAGGTTGGGTGGTGCCGTTTGTCCTCTGGTCCAGGAACCGCTTGCACAGAGCCTGAGACGAGCCGAGAGCGCGGGAACGGATCTGTGTGCCGCCACGGATCTTCATAGACGAGGGAGGCTCGGCGGTCCGACTGGGCGAGCGCCATATTCCAAGCCGAGGGGAAGGGTGGGGTGGTGCCGTTTGCTATCTGGTCCGTGGTGCCCGATGGGGCCACATTGGGTGCCCCTTCTGGGCATCCTGCAGCCCCGGGGAGCCCGCCAGCCCGCTCTGCGGGCAGTGTCTTTTTCCACATCCAGTGCGTCCTGGAGCTTCGGGCTCTCGTCCCCAGAAACACGAGGCGCCCTGGATGTGGATGAACACCTGGCCCCCAAAAGGCCCGATGCTTGCCCATATTCAGGGCGCCTCGGCCGCGCGGCGCCTATTAGAGGCGCTCTTGGAGGCCTCTATGGCCATGTTGGGGCGATCCTGGAAGCCACTGGGCCGTCTTGGAGCGCCAGTAAGCTCCCAAGGCGAGAATGCCAAAAACCTTCAAAAGCTGTAAGAGAATAACTAATTTCCGCCTCTGTGGGTTGTCTTGGGAGGTCTCTTGGAGGCCTTTTGGGGCGTCTTTTGGGCGTCTTGCAGGCGCTTTGGGCTGTCTGGAGGCCATCTTTGGCGTCTTGGATCGCTCGTGGGCCGTCTCCGGCCATGTTGAGCTCTCTTGAAGGCCACTTGAAGCGCTCCTGGAAGGCTCTCGGGAGCCTGCTGGGCCCTGGCTGGGGCCTGGCCGGGACCTGGCCGGGACCTGGCCGGAATTTGGCCGGGACTTGCGGCGGTATTTTTCGTCTGGGGACCCCCAGGGGCGGCCCCGCGCGCGCGAATTAGAATATTGTTAACCAGTCACCGGAGATCTTAGCACGCCCTTGGCCCGTTGGGCCGTCGAATTTTTCGTCCAAAACCCGCCTGTAGGAGGACATGCCCGACCTAACCCTAACCCTAAATAGCAGGATGGCGTGGCCTCACTGAGGTCCCCGTCTTCACATTAGCGATGATACTTCTGTGCGGTTTGGCCGGGTACATCTGCAGAAACGATTTGTTGTCCCTAGTGTGTTCGGGCCCTCCTAACTTAGGTCCCTTCCCAAAGGTTTAGAGGATTCTTTTTTGGTTAATCATGCTGGGCTGCGGCTTGCCCGATGACGGTATAGCGCAGGATGGCGACGAAGAGCGATGTGATGCCCAGGAGGGGGGGCAGATATGTGGGGGAGAGTGGGCATGATGTTGGGAAGTCTTTGTGAGCAGTTCCCTAGTGTTGGGCCCCCTGCTTGGGCCCTCTTGAGCTTCTTTCGGACCTGTTGTGTGGGGTATTGGGCCCTGCCTGAGGGGCCCAAGAAGAGTGGTTATGATGCGGAGGCGGAGGAAGATGGGAAGATGAGGAGGAGAAGGAGGAGACGGGGAGAGGAGTGGGAATGACGGGTGAGGAGAGTTCAAGTGAGTAGGGACGATGAGGAGATGAGGAGGAGAAGGAATATCGCGGTAGTTGGAGTGACTCATGGAGGCGAGGGGCGGTGAGAGCTGAAGTAAGCCCCGATTGGCCCACTTCGGCATTCCATCCTGGCAGTGGCATTGGCAAGAGAGAGAGAGAGAAAGCAAGAGAGCAAGAGAGGTAGAGAGAGAGAGAAGGAGGAAGAGAAAGAGCGAACGATAGTTGCGTTTGGGAGACGTTCCCCCCAAATGGGATCATAGCAACAGCTGAACAGAACAGAGCAGACCAGTAAGAGAGAGAGAGAGAGAGAGAGAGCACCGAGTGAGTCCACAAGCCGGGACTCACCGCGGGCCCACGGGAGGGGATCGGCACGCATAAATGTCAATCAGTGAGGGTTGCGGGTTTGGTCTGAACATTCTTCTGTGACTCTTCTGTGGCCCGCTTTGGGCCTCTTGGGGCGCCGTCTTGGCACTCTCTGGTTACACGCGTGCGCCGGCGAGGTGCCGGCTGCTTCTGCCTCCGTGGGGGGCGCCGCCCCGAGTTTCTCTCCCTGGGGAGAGCCGGTGTCGTCTCTCAATGGGCCTCCCTCCGAGAGTCCAGCGAGGTGTTCCAGAAGTGGCCTCGCCTTCGAGGGTGGAAGGAGCTGGCATCTCTTCCTCGGCGGATGGCGGCGGGAGGCGGCGGGAGCAGAACGAGGGGGCGCCTCCGCCGGCGGAGGGCGGCGGAAGCAAAGATCGACCCCCCCCCCCCCCCAGAGATGACGATGTTCTTAGGTTCGGGGTTCCCGGAGTCGGCCAGGTACGGTTTCAAGGCATTCTTTGGAGCCCGCAGGGCGGTATAGCCACGGTGGGCCTCCTCCCCCCCCCCCCGTGAGATGTGGGAGCCCTTTTGGGTCCTCTGTGGGGAGCTTTTTGGGGCCCTCGTGGCGGAGCTCGTCCAGAGAGAGCCCGTCTGGGCCGTCCCTGCGGGGCGCTGTGGAGCCGTCCTGGAGGTCTCCAGGGCCGCCGTGGGGCCCCGTGGGGGGGTGCGCTCTGGGGCTCTGCTGCGGGCTCCCCACGAGGCCAGGTCGGGACTATCTTGACGTCTCAGAGGCCCCTTCGGATATAGCCTGTGGGAGGCCTCCGGAGGCTCCAAAATGGCCAGCGCGTGGACGTGTTGGGATCCTCGCCACCCCGTTTGTGATCTTAACTCCAAGGAGTTCAAAAATTGGTCTTGTGTGATCTTCAGTGTCGCCCCACGTCGCTTGCTCAGTGGCGCCTGGACTGCTTGCACCTTCTGCGGTGTGCCTCGCCAGACAGACAGCTCCGATCGTCGAGTCTCGATCCTCGAATTGCAATGCTCGAGCCCAGATAGTGGGGAGGTGCTTGGTAAGGCCTCAGCTTCCGCACAGACTGCCCCCTTCATTTCGGGACCTCGCAAAGGGGGGGGTGCCACAGGGGGGGGGGGAGTTCGGTCCGTTGGCGCAATTGAACTGGAGAAAAACTATGCAAAACGAGGTCTCCGGCCGCCGCCGGAACCCGAGAGGCGTCGACAATCGGGGCGCGCGGGGGGCATCGTTTGTCGGAAATTCGATGCACCAGCGGATCGAAATCACCCCCCCTCAGGGTCCCCCCCCCCTCCCTTGGTGGGCCCCCTTCATTGCAGGCAGTCCCGGCTGGCGTCAGGAGGCCCTGCCGAAAAAGTCCGGGGCGGCCCCAGCACCCCAGCCTTGGGGCGCCGAGCGCCGCAGGGTGGCGCCGCCGGAGGCGGCGCAGGGGTGTTGCGGCCGCCCCGGATTTCTTCCGTAGACACGCTAGCGGCGATATAGGCAACGGCGATGTAGGTTTCGGTATTGTGGGAACGTATGGCCCGTGCTTTTCTGCGATTCGCTGTGCCGTTTTCGCTCGATGCACCTGCACTTTTGGGGAATGTAGGAAAGTGTGGGTCGTGATTTCCTACAGGTTGGCTCCCGACACCACGGTGAAGCAACATCGCCGTTCGCGTGGCCTCGGTTATTCGGCAGGGCCTGTTGAGGCCGGCTGGGGCTGCTCTCTCGGGGCCTGTTGGGGCCAGCCAGGGCCTCCGAGAGGGGGGCTGTCTGGCGCGCAGGCCGAAGCCTCACCAGAAGAGCTTGGAGAGCCCTCGCAGGCTGGGGACTGCACGCGTAAGCCTCCCGGCGTGCTGTCGGCGCGGGCGTCCTCGGGCGCTGCCAGAGGCGTCCCTGAGCCAGAGTCGGGGGCGGCAAGGAGGGGGGCGATGACTAGGGGGGGTGGATATCATGGCGTGGGCCATGATATTTCCTCAGATTTCATGGCGCCTTTCCTTATTTCATTACGTCCCTGGGCCGCGCACATGCCGCTGGCCGTGATTTGCGCCAACCCCCTCTTGGACGCCCCCCTCTTGGCCGCCCCCGACAGAGGTGTCCCGGGGACCTCCAGGGGAGATGCCCCGCGGCCCGGGAGCACCCCTCAAGGGGCCCACGGGACCCCAGGGGCCCCAAGGGTGAGGCTTCGGGCTGCGCCCTGACAGCCCCTCCAGGTGGTGCGCTGGCCTCCACAGGCCCCCCGAGTACAGTCAAAAACCCTAGTAAGGACGCGCGACTTTGCTCAGGGTACTCTTGCGCCCTTGCTCTTCCTTGCTCTTGCGTCCTTGAGGTTTTCGTCGTCCGCCGCCCCAAAAATCCCAACTTCGGCTTCCAAGGGTTTTGCGTCCTTACCGCGCGCCCTTATTTGGGTTTTTGACTGTAGTCCCAGTTGGCCTCCACAAGCCCCCCCCCCCGCATTCGAGGGCAGCCTTAGCACCCCATAGCCGCCGCTGGCGGCGCCTCAGGGGCGCTCTGCGCCCCAGGGTTGGGGTGTTGAGGCCGCCCTGGACTGTCGAGGGGTCTGTGGGGACCAGCTGGGACTACTCGGGGGGCCTGCTGAGGCTGGCGGGGACTACCAGAAGGGGGGCTGCCGGTGCGCAGCCCGGAGCCTCACCAGGCCCCCAAACGAGCCGAAGTCCCCGGGGCGCTCTGGGCCAGGAGCGCATCTGGCCACCGCTGAGCTCTTGGCCCGACGGGCCCGCGAGCGTGTACAGCCGCGGACCCCGCTTGCCGCGAGAACCCTTCATGATGGACAGTCTCGCGGCGGGCGGCCGGTCGCGCTCCAGCAGGGCAGTCTCACCGTCTGTTCCATCCTCTTCCCTACTCTTTTCTTGTCCCTTCCCCCTTCGTCCTCTCCACCTTGTTCCTCCTCCTCTTCGGTGCAGTGCTGCACCCGAGTCACCACTCCCTTAGGTTTCCTCTTCTTGAGTCTTCAGTAGCCCCCCCCTCTCGAAAGGTCCCCCTCCATCGATTCCCCCCACTGGCGGTTCCCCCCCGAGAGGAGGAGAAAGCACAGAGGGATGGCAGGAGGTGGCCTGGGTAATGAAGCTGTGCCAGGGGCTTGGTGGAAGTTGAGGCATAGATGCGTTCAGAACCAAGGTTACCAGCTTGAAACATATCCCTATCCCTGCGTTTGGCATCACCTCACCTCGATGCCGATCTTTAGGATTCCCTCAGTTTCTGAAGGCACATCCCTAAGATTGTCCTCGCCTTTTTGCTCGCCCATCTTAGGGATAGGGATCGGTTCGAGGCTGGTCACAAGATCCAGACATACCTCCGCCATTGGGCCGCCAGCCCGGCCCTTGGCTCCTCGGCGCAGTCAGGGAACCGGCGGACCATAGCCTCATTCGCAGGAGGTCACTGCTTTTGTCATTATGTCTGGTAACGGTCGTTACCCCGGGGAGGGGGGGCCTGGCGAATGGGGTTGGGAGAAATGAGGATCTCATCACCCGTAGGCGGCCGAAGGTATCGTTCATTGCATCCGGATGTTGTTGCTCATGCCCTTCATCCTCCCAACCCCTTTCTCCCAACACGAGACTTGATCTCCTGAACATTTGGGCGGTGTGTGGCACGTCGGTGCAGGGAGACGCTGCGTTCGCCATAGTCCAGGGTAGTGGTAACGCTTTGGCGGCTTGGGGCACGTGGAGGAAGGGTGTGAGCTGCGATCGCCATAGACCATAGCATGCGCGCGAGCACCAGCTTGTGGGGGGGGGGTCCAGTCCTCCCCCCCTCCAATGTACGATCCTTACGTTCACCCAGCGGCGGGGGAGGAGGGTTTGGCCTGGGTAGCGACCGTTACGCGCCAACCTCAAACCGTCCTCGGAAACTCGATCGGAAGTGGGCGCGGGGGGGCCATTACTGCGAGCAGCGTCGAGGCCATCGCTGCAGTCAGTTGACCAGAAGCACAGCGTGCATCTCCGAGTGTCGGGGGAGCGGCGTGGGGATTTGGCGAAGGCTGGCTTCACGGATTTGACGGCGGGCTGATTCGATGAAGTGTGTCTTCTTGCGTTGTCACTGTTTCTCGCCGCGTCGAGATTGTTTTTCGTATCCTTTGGTGCGTAAGGGTCGTTTCCCTGGCCACCCCCCACCCTCCCAGGCAACGGCAACGATCGTACGTAGGGGGGGGGGCACTGGACCCCCCCTCCCATGCTTGTTCTCGCGCGCATGCTGCGGCGATCGCAGCGCACCCCCGCACCGACGAACCCCACCCCGCCCAAATATTCCCGTTACCGTTACCCCCTCCCCCACCCTGGATACCTATCGTTACCAGAGGTGATGTAACTATGCAGGATATGTCGAGCGTTCTCGTCGCTTTGTTTGTTGGTGCGCGGAGAGGGAGTTGTTTCCTTGATGGTCGTCGTCCTCTTGCTCCTTCTCGTGGAGATGCTGGTGACGGACGAAGGTCCGTCTCTTTGTGCCCTTGCATTGGCTGGTACTTCAGCGTGCAGCTGTTGCGAGGTGGAGAAGGGCTGTAATACTCTGCCATGCGCTATGCTGGCGCGTAGGTGGTTCTTTAACCCTTGATTTCGACATGCCGTCAACAAGACGACCATGCAGCCATGAAGCCGTATTCTGTTTGAAGCTGCTCCGTCTCCGTCCAATAACATGCAAGCAGCGCATGAGTGTGGACCTTGCACGATCCGTAGGCAACGCATGTCCATTTTACCCAATCTCGAACCCACATTGCTTTGCACATCCGAGCCGAACTTCTTTCATCACTAATTACTCGATCCTAGTGTCTGTCAGCCATACATGTACACAGGTGGTAGCCTCCGCACGCCTTACCCCCCCCTTGCTGTTCGATGAGCTGAACTCCAATATCTCTCTAATATATATATATATATATACACATATTCCTCTTCCTATATTTTTTAAAGCCCGGAGGGGGGGAACCCATCACCCCCCCCAAAAAAAAAATTGGATCCCCGGGATCTGGGGTCTTCGGGCTCCCTGGGGCGTCCTTGGAAAAAGTCACCCGGCTTTCCCAGCCTCCACAAACGCCTTGCCAGCAGACCCAGAGCGATCAGAGGGGTCATCAGAGAGGCTCAAGGGAGGCCCCAGACAGCACAAGAGCGCTCCAAGAGGGACTTCAATTGCGTCAGGACGGCCCAAAAGACCCCCAAGGCCCCCCCCAAATTTTTCCAAGGGGCTTCAAACCATAAAAATCGTCCCATTCCCTTTGTCAAACGTACAATTTTCGCAAATTCGCTTTTTGGATTTTATCAGCTTTCAAGACGGCTTCAAAGCCCCCGAGATCGCCTCCAGACGCCCCGAGAGGCCCCCTAGAAAGCTTCAAGACGGCGGAGCCGGGCCCCACGATCGCCCACGAGAGCCCCAAGACAGCCCATAATGGGCCCAAGAGGCCCCCCAAGGGCTCCCAGCACTGGCCTAAAAGGGCCATGGGAGGTCCCCGGAAGTGCCCAAGATGGGTCCAAAGGGGGCTCCAGCGGGCTCAAGCTCCCCAAGACGGCCCAAGAAGGCCCCATGACGGCCCATGAAGGCGCCGAAACGGCCCACGAGGGCCCCGAAAACACCCCCACGATGCTTCCGAGTGCCAACATGAAGACCCCCAAGGCCCCCCAAAAAACTTTCCAAGGGGCTTCAAAACATAAAAATCGTCCCATTCCCTTTGTCAAACGTACAATTTTAGCGTATTCGCCTTTCGGAGTTTATCAGCTTTCAAGACGGTTTCAAAGCCCCCGAGATCGCCTCAAGACGCCCCAAAAGGCCCCCAAGAAAGCTTCAAGACGGCCGAGCCGGGCCCCACGATCGCCCACGAGAGCCCCAAAACAGCCCATAATGGAACCAAGAGGCCCCCCAAGGGCTCCCAGCACTGGCCTAAAAGGGCCATGGGAGGTCCCCGGAAGTGCCCAAGATGGGTCCAAAGGGGGCTCCAGCGGGCTTAGCTCCCCAAGACGGCCCAAGAAGACCCCAGGACGGCCCATGAAGGCGCCAAAACGGCCCACGAGGGCCCCGAAAACACTCCCACGATGTTTCCGAATGTCAACATAAAGACGCCCAAGGCCCCTAAAAAGCTTCCCAAGGGGCCTTCAAAACATAAAAAACGTCCCATTCCCTTCGTAAAACTTAACAATTTTAGCATATTCATCTTTCGGATTTCATCAGCTTTCAGAGCTCCCGAGATCGCCTCAAGACGCTCCAAGAGGCCCCCTAGAAAGCTTCAAGACGGCGGAGCCGGGCCCCACGATCGCCCACGAGAGCCCCAAGACAGCCCATAATGGAACCAAGAGGCCCCCCAAGGGCTCCCAGCACTGGCCTAAAAGGGCCATGGGAGGTCCCCGGAAGTGCCCAAGATGGGTCCAAAGGGGGCTCCAGCGGGCTCAAGCTCCCCAAGACGGCCCAAGAAGGCCCCATCACGGCCCATGAAGGCGCCAAAACGGCCCACGAGGGCCCCGAAAACACCCCCACGATGTTTCCGAATGCCAACATTCATTGACTTTGCTCCCATGACATTTCACATTGTGACCCATTCGTTAAGGGTCTCGTGGCGTGCAGCGAAGATGCCCGAGGATGCCCCGTCCGAGTTGCATATGCATGTTCATACCCTTACACACATCTACATTTATATGTACAGATGTACGCTGTATACACACATGCAACAATGCAAGTATATTGTATGCACCTAGACATTTACACGGAACGTGCATGCACGTGCGCGTGTATACATGCATGCGCGCATGTACGCTCGCACGCATTCTGCTTGCGTGCAGAATTCAAAGGACCAAGGTGCATGGCGCGCAGCGCCAATGCAGTCTTGTATATATATATATATACATACATATATATATATAAATATATATATATATATATGTACAGATCTCTCTCTCTCTCTCTCTCTCTCTTTCTGCTGGACATGTCTTCTTTTCTTCGCTTCCTCCTTCTGTTCCTCCTCCTCCTCCTCCTCCTCCTCCTCCTCCTCTCCTCCTCCCGCCTGCGTGGCTCCTAGCACGTGCTGGACCACATACCAGACGCTAACGGGAGGATGGCCGATGTCGCACCGCATGCACGTCGGTCAGCCCCGGCTGGGATGCAGATGGGGGTGCGAAGGGCACGCAGACGAAATCTTCCGCTACGTGTCCAGCTGCCGCAGAGCGTGGTGGAGTGTCTGCTACGTTGTGCCACACGCACTACCTGTTCCGACCCCCGCCTGGCCCGGTCTCACCGCCTCCGGAGGTCACCCAGGCCCTGGCCCGCGCCGTGGCCCAGCGCGTCCACGTCCCGCCGCTCCCCGCGCCCGCAAGGCGCGCGCTCGCCGGTGCGGCCGGGGCTCGGCGCGTTTCCAGCGCACATCCGCAGCCACCAGCAAGACAGGGCGAAAGCCGTGGGTGGCGCAGAGGCGGCCTCCTGCGGACCGTTCTGCACTCGCCAGCGCTGAGTTGCCGGCTGCCCCGCGGAGCGCCTTCGCGGGCTGACCATCTGAAGCCACAGGCGTTCCTCCTCCCCCTCCCTCTCGTCATCCGCCGCTGAGGTCTGGAGCGCAAACGTTGTGAGACAAGTCAACAGCTAATGACACAACCAGCTCATTTCGGCTGAACTCCTGCGAGGGGGCCGGGCTAGATATGGTCGTCCGAAGCCATCGTTGTTGATTATTTGTTTGTTTTCATGTTTCGGGGGACACACATGGATAATTCAATGGCCTTCGGCCTATCCCACCGTGCCTGGATTCGGTCAGAGGCCTCTTGGATGTCTGCCTCCTGCAGGCAGCGTTGAGGCCTTCCGGGCGCCTCTTGGGGACATGTTGTGGGTCTTGAGGGGGCGGTTTGGGGGGGAAGGCTCCGAAAGCCCCTTCGCTTTCCCCCTCTTGCGGACCGTCTGGGGGCCCTCTTGGGCCTTCTTGGAGTTCTGGAAGCCCGAATCGGCGAGAACGCCCAGATCCATGTAGGGGGAATCATTAGCAGGTGCATCTTAGGGCCCTCTTGGGCCACCCCCTCAAGCCCTCTTGGGGCATCATAGAAGTCTTCCAGACCGTCTTGAAGCTTGGCCGCCTTGGAGCGCTCTTGGGCTGTCTGGCTCTCGCGGTGCGCTATCAGGGGCCTCTCGGTCTTATGTGGAGCTTCTTAGCCTCAGGGAAAGACTACTAGTAGCGGGAAGCCCCAAAGGTCTCGCGACCAGCCCCCGGGGGCACGCGACGCACCTCGACATTTGGGCGCTTCGACCGATTAAAAAGGACGCTGATTGACGGCTGGGCGAGGTGGAGGAAGAAGGAGAGCAGAGTAGACGGAGGAACCCTCTTCGTGTTAGGAGCATTCTCGTCATCGGCCTCTGTGTCCTCGCCATTAACAGTTTCCTTTTCGTTATCTTCCTTGAGCCGAGGTAGAGGATAATGAGGAGTAGTGAGGAGTGGGAGGAAGAGGGCGTGGACGAAGTCCGTGGTGAACGCGCACGCGCCTTTGTTTTCATTGGGAAGACAGCGCCCAGCCCGAGACTCCGACCAGCAGCTGCTTAGGGAGAGGCTCGCCAATGAACAGCCCAGCCACGACTTCGACTGGCAGTTGCCGCCGTCGGGAAGAGTGCGAGCGGCATTTTGAGGAAAAATAGTCGAGAGGGAGAGGGAGACGGAGGTTGTTTGCCATCTTCGGGCTCCCGTGAACAACAGCAATTCGGGGAAACAAAGTCCGTCGCAGGCAAAGCCTGTAGCAAACTAAGCAGCACCGTTTTGCTTACGGAGCCTCTTTTTCCCTCGTAGCAGGAAAGCCATGTTTGTTGCCCATTCGGCGTTTCACAGAGTTTTCCCTTCATGCCAGGTGGGCGCGTTTACCCGCCTTGCAGGAACCTCGCTACCAACCTATACATCTCAATTGGCCACCACATGGAGAACACAACGGAAAATATGTGTTGGGGTTGGATAAAGCCAGAAGGGGCGATGATCGCTCTTTCCAGTTACCCGTAGCATTCAACATAACAACTCATTCCCGGGGGGGCAGATTAGAAGGACAGCCCAAGAGGGGCCTCATTCTTCTCAATGGCAGTATCAAAAGGGGCTTCAAGTCTCTCCCCGATCAGAATCCGAACTGAATCGGATTGGGATATTACCGGGTTCATGTTGCAATCTTGGTGAGGTACCGCGTTGAGGGGTCCTGGGGCGGGATATCGTTTCCAAAGGCGAGAAGCGATATAGTTTCGCCGAATGGGGTGTCGATAATCGCATCTCGCGGTTAATTTGTTTGCCAGGATCAGAATTGATGCGTTGGCTCTTGTTTTTCCTCGTCTCCTTCCGTCTTCCCCAGGTGAGGGGAGAAGGCGAGGAGTAGGAGGAGGAGGAGGAGGAGGAGGAGGAGGAGGAGGGAAGTGGAAGGCCCCTCCTCTTCTCCTCTTCTCGGGCTCCCCCTCCGCCTCCGCTTCCCTCGTTTCCTCGCAGCTCTCCTTCTCCTTCCCTCCTCCTTAGGGGGGAGAAGAAGTCGAGCAAGGGATCGACTACATAATTGATTTACCCCCCAAGTCACTATCTTGCCGAATCGCCTGAGACATACTTACACATTCTCACTTGCGTCGCGTACATCTTACGTCTTCGTAGCAAATTTGGCAGGGGGAATCAAATTTCGTGACACCTCAACGATGTAGTGGACCCCCTACTCGAAGAGGTGAGGTTCACAGGGATGGCGACGGCGGATGGACGGACCCGCGGGCCCCTCGTCCGCTCCGGGGGCGGCAGCGCGCCCGTCCCTGGAGAGACCGCGACCCGA